CTACGGGTGGTAGAGAGCGGTGCTGAAGGCTACAGCGTGTGTGGGTGGTGCTTGCGCTGTGGGGACAGACGCCACAGCGATGGGCTCATCCGAAGCCTTGCATGCTCTTTTAGCTTTCTTGTAGCTTAACTTCAGTAGTGCTCGAGCGATAATACTGCCAGAAAACGTGGTTGTGTGACATCTTAAGCTTACAGGTCAGTGCTGTGTCCGTTTTAACTCTTTGGCCATTCCTGCCCATTCTTATCACCCCACTTGTGCTAGCACTGGTGCCTTGTATTCCTGTAAGCTAACCAGAGGCATGCTAAGGTTATTTCCCCCTCCCCCCACCTCGTAGGGCTATTTTTCCGTTGGCTCATCTCGCTGAATTGAGATGAATACAGAAGAAGAGATAGAATCAGAATAATTAACTTAAATTGGCATTGAATGTAGTTGTAAGCTCAAGTATTATATGTAATAATCTTAGCGTAACAAACTTAAATTCTTCGTTTTAGGCAAACACAGAAAACATCCTGGAGGGCGTGGTAATGCTGGTGGTATGCACCATCACAGGATTAACTTTGATAAATAGTAAGCTAACATTTTAAATACATACTAGCAAAATGTGTGTTCTTTATGTAGGAACAACTGACTCTTATATGTGAATAAACAAAATTCCCTGCAATCCTGTGTGGTTTTTCCTCTAACGCAGAGTGTGGCATTACAGCTACAATTAACTCATGTCCATATTTACCCTAAAATCAAAGACCTTTTCACTTAAACTAGGTGTCTTTAAGAGTTCAGCGCAGCATTCAGTAAACTTGACCAAACTTGCCGGTTGTAACGTGGTCCCTGCTAAACGATGCACACACAAAATATTATATAAATTCAAAATGTTATGTTAAATCCAATCTGTATCCTATGTGGCTGCATACTGTAAAGGTGTGGGATGTTGTCTTTACTTATTGCCGAGACTAGAGTCACATCTGGACACTGCCTGTTGTCCTGGTGTGCTAGAGTACTCGGACAGTAACCACTAATCTATATTCACTGGCTGTGACCGTTCTTGACTCAGTCAGTCACCAGGTTAGTGACAGGAGCTCTTGACGCTCCTCCGGCAGTGCAACCCTGCCTGCCTTCACCACGTTAGGGTTGCCTAGGAAAGATGGGGCTGGGCCAGACTCACCAGTGAGGGGGATTGAGTTGTGAGTTCAAGGGAGAGAGAAAATAATTTTCCCATTATTTGGATACAAATTGTTATTATTACACTTCAATACTATGTGTATTAATGTGAATAAAAATATAATGTGAAATTTTGATTACTTTGATCAAGTAAGATGCTTGTTTCAATGTTGAATTGTAGTCCTGCCTGTTTAGGACCAATTAAAAATGTGGTCTAATGAGGAATGTGTTTCTTTCACAGTCACCCTGGTTACTTTGGAAAAGTAGGCATGAGACACTATCACTTGAAGAGAAACCAAAAGTTCTGCCCTACTGTCAATTTGGATAAACTGTGGACGCTTGTCAGTGAACAGACACGGCTGAATTATGCAAAAAACGAGGCTGGACTGGCCCCCGTCATCGATGTTGTGCGCTCAGTAAGTTTCTGCCCATATTCAAACCTGCAGTTCCTGGTCAATTCATGTGTAACTTAGCTTTGCGTATCTAAGCAGGAGAACCGCAAATAAGCTACAGGGCTTGAATATTTGTAAACTTCTCGGGACAATATCTTGGCATATAAATAGTTACATGGGTACTTAGGTGGTTAACTTTTTTTTCCTGTAAGAACTTTTTCTCACACTTGCGCGTGATTTGGACTTCCCTTATTTTGGAAGGTGGTGAAAGATTGTCTAAAACGTTACTGAAAGCGTGCATAAAAACATGATAGAACTATTCTATATAAAGTCACTTCTCTAATATCGAGACTAGAGTCACATCTTAACATGTTTGATTGTCTTGGTGTGCTATAGTTCTCGGACACAAACATCTGATCCCTATTCACTGGCTGCGATGTCTCATATCTCAATCAGCCACCGAATCAGTGACACTGACAAGTCTGCCAAGAGTTGTGGTGTGTTCTGTGTCCCAAATTGGGATACCCGTGTTGGCCAGTTAGGTTACTTCTCACAAGCGCTGACTTCAATGGCTGTAGTATTAATAGACCTTGTGCCATGATTGTCCTTTTAATGTAGAGGACAGGAATGAAATGAGAGGATTCCAGTGATAGAGATCAGCTATTGCTGCGAAAGCTTGCAAAAGCTTCAGTTGCCCCTTTTAAGACGTGCAGAAGAGTCCTCTGCTCTGTGCAGAAGTACCAGGATGTTCTACAGGTAAAGAGCACCGGTCAGAAGTCACTAGCTTGTAGATGGTCTTGGAAGTGCAGCCAACTGCTCTCTCCTTGGCAAAGTGGGAGAAGGCTGGTGACTTCATTGCCGAATTGCACAGTGTCTTCTCTATACGGAGTACGGGGGGAAAATAACCAGCTTCTAAATTATGGAAAAAGATCAATTTACAGTTTGCACTTTTTCTCTGAACACTTGCAGCCCCACTAGGTCATGCAGGGTGTTTTTCTTTCATTCGTACCAATTTTATATTGAAGACAGGCATTGAGTGAGGTCATGGTGGTCATGGTTCTGCTTTTAACTGGTGGGTGCTAAAAGACAGGTCTGAATGTGGGAGCCTGCAAGCTGATTGCAAACACTTAACGTTTTTTTAATCTTTTTAGGGCTACTACAAAGTCCTGGGCAAGGGGAAGCTGCCCAAGCAGCCTGTAATTGTGAAAGCGAAGTTCTTCAGTAGAAGAGCAGAGGAGAAGATCAAAGAAGTTGGAGGTGCCTGTGTGCTTGTGGCATGAAGGCCTTTGGTTTATTCAAAACATTTGAATAAAGACAATGTGTAAAAATGTGCTGATTTGTGGAAGTTTCAGATTTTTTTTCCTCACTTGCCCAGACACTTGTTCACATTCAAGTTTTGTCCACTTAGTTATTATGCTGTTCTGTTGGTGGGGATTTTTGCATATGAAAATGCCACCATCTCACGTGGGGATGCTGCCCTGTCACTCCTGGGGGATGAGGCAGCAGGGGGGATGAGGGACGAAGAAGGGCCGTGGGGCAGCGCTAAGCGGGTGGTAGCCTGGCAAAAGGTGCTGTGTGAAGAGACCCGGTACGGGGATTTGCTACCCGTCAGCTTTGTGAGCGGGGGGTGCTCCCGCTGCGCAGGAGGG